TTTTCTATTAAATGGGCAGCTTTTTATTAATATGTTTATGTTTAGTAATGTTTTTAACTTGTAAATTCATAAAATATTATAAAAAAAAAGGTTTTATAGATTTCAGTAATAAAAAAACCCAACTGATTGTCTAAAAAGATAAGTCCTTTCTTAAATTTAATACAAAAAAAAACAGTTTTCTTATCACTGGATTATGATTTTTGTCGTGTGTTAAAATATGCAAGTCAATGTAAAAAGTGATTATTAGAATAAAAGATTAGAGAAAAAGATAAAAAAAAAAACAGCAACCGTAAGAATATAAATCTTTCAAAATTCGTTTTCGTGTATGAATTAATTTATTGTTTTGAATAGTCATAAAAATAACTTTTATTACTGTTTTCCTGTTATGTCAGCTTGCCATTTATTGGGGGTAGTTGTTATAGAAATTAAACGTATGTCAAATATTAACAATATCATGAATATAACAGGTAAAGCTTTGATAATCTGGTCACCTGTAATTACATTTACCTGTTAAAATCAAACTTATTTTGTTCAAGATTTAGAAACAGAACGAAAAGCAACTCTTTTCCAGGTTTTCTCTTCTTTCTTAGTAGCGAGTACACGTACATTTAGTATTTCCGACAATGTACATTTATTGTTTATATCCTACAATTTATAACTGACGGTTTAATGGTTAGTTTATAAATCCAAATTGAATTTTTACATTTTTTAAAGAAATCTACATAGTTTTAACCGCTGACCGCGAAGTTGATCGAAATTGAACTGTCACGGCAGAAACAGAAATATTCTCATTACCGTTTGCTCAATATGGAGGTGGAGTACAAGAGGCTTTATTTGTACAAATAAAAATAAACAAAACTTTATTTTTGAACTTGTTATTTATGCAACAATTAGTTGATAGCAGGATAAAAGCCGGTGTTTCGTAGATATTTTTGTTATTCATATTTTCCACTGATCTAGTTCAGCTACATGCTTGCAGTAACGTTTGATCATCGTATATAAAAGCGCTCAAACAACTCTTATATATAGGTGGCGTATTTATTAATATTAGAAAATGATTTTTTAATATTAAAAAATCAAGCTGAATATTTAATATTAAATATTCATAATTTAATATTAAAAAATAAGGCCATTTATTAATATTAGAAAATGAATTTTTAATATTAGAAAATGAATTTTTAATATTAAAAAATGATTTTTTTAATATTAAAAAATGATTTTTTAATATTAAAAAATGATTTTTTAATATTAATAAATCATTTTTTAATATTAATAAATCGAATATTTAATATTTAAAAAATTGAATATTTAATATTAATAAATAAAACCCATTTATTAATATTAAAAAATATTTATTTATATTAAAAAATCGATTTATTAATATTTAAAAATAATATTTAATATTAATAAATGATTTTTTAATATTAATAACAATGATCCATGAAAATGAGGTCAAGGTCTGATGAACTCTGCCAGACAGACATGTACACCTTACAATCATTACATGCTTTTAATATAGTTGACCTATTGCATATAGTATCTAAGAAACAAACTTAACCAGGAAAAAATATCATTGACCAATGGACCATGAAAATGAGGTCAAGGTCAGATGATAACTGCCAGACAGACATATACACCTTACAATCATTCCATACACCAAATATAGTTGAGATATTGCTCATAGTTTAAGAAAAACAGACCAAAACACAAAAACTCAACATTGAGCAATGAACCGTAAAAATGAGGTCAAGGTCAAATAAGACCTGCCAGACTCGTGTACATCGTAAAATATTTTCATACACCAAATATAGTTGACCTATTGCATACAGTATTAGAAAAACAGACCAAAACACAAAAACTTAACTTTAACCACTGAACCATGAAAACGAGGTCAAAGTCAGATGACACCTGCCAGTTGGACATGTATACCTTACAATCATTCCATACACCAACAGAAGTCGCAGACTCGACCAAAATTTTATCTTTTTTTTCAAGTAGTCACTGAACCATAAAAATGAGTTCAAGGACAATGATCATATGACAGATGGAAACTTCATAACATAAGGCATCTATATACAAAGTATGAAGCAAATATACTTTCTTCTACCTTCTGAAATATTAAGCTTTTAAGTAGATAGTTAAGGTCGCCATCACCGCCGGATCACTATCCCTATGTCTCGCTTTCTGCTACATCAAGCTCGACAAAAATACGCAAAAATTATCTTTCAAAGGCAAAAAATTCATATTAGGGGTCAACTGACAATTTTGGCCATGTTGATTGAAAGGTTTTTACAAAAAATGCATAAAATGTGTAAAACCATATTTCAACAGTAATAAGTAATAAGAGAGCAACCATTTAACTTCAAGGGGGGTGGGGGGGTTATGGATTTTTATCTGTCAGAAAAAAAAATTCGTGCAAAGTGCGATCAATTTTATTTAGTTTTTCAACACTATCAATCAAATAATTTTTTTCAATATTTAACACTATAAGGTATGGGGAAAATCTGGATTCAGAATATTTTTTTTGTCATTTGTTTGACCAGAATATTTTTTCTCATTCTGTTTCTCTCTATTAAGGTTTCTGCAAAAAAAAGGGTTAAAATCATCTACAAGGGCAACAACTCTTATAAGGGGCAACTTGATGATTTTCTCCATGTTTACTTATTTGTAGAACTAATTGTTCTGGATATGTTTACTGTTTTTCTCCATCTATTATAGTATTCAAACAGTATATGAAAACAACAATATAAATTTCATGTGTCCGAAGCCCTTTTCTGGATTTACCTTCTTCAAGAACACTCAAAGCCAAATACTTGAAAGGCAAGGATGAATAAGAATTGAATCAGTTGAAGAGCTAGATCACTAAAAAGGACCTAAAAATAAAAGCCAAATCATTCTAAGATCAACTTTGCCTGAAGGAGTTGAAACCTTAAGTTTCTTAATAATCTTTTAATTCATAAACGGAAAATGTAAGAAAGGTTTGTTATAAATCAAATCAATACCAAAGTATTGATTACTGAGTTGGTCATACCCTTGGGGACCAAAGTATTGATTACTGAGTTGGTCATACCCTTGGGGACCAAAGTATTGATTACTGAGTTGGTCATACCCTTGGGAACCAAAGTATTGATTAATGAGTTGGTCATACCCTTGGGGACTGATAGTCCACCATCAGTGGTATCAACCCAATATAATCAAGAAAAAAATCGAAATTTGCAAAACAAACCGCATTTTAGACACAAAAACGTCAAACTGGATTGTCCTATTTTTCTGAAAATTACATAGATAAATCTGAAATGCTGATCATTTTTCCTGCCAATTTTGCTAACCTCTTTAATATTTGAGAGCTAAGCAAAAAACTGCATTTTACCCTTATGTTCTTTTGTAAGCAACAGTGGCCATGATTTTTTATATATCAAATCCATGGATACAATTTTTAAACTAGATACCCTAAGGGATCATTCAGGTAAAGTCTTGTAAATTTGGCCTTGTAGTTTCACGTGATTTATTTTTAAAGTTTACTGCAAAGGATGCCAAGTGATGGCAAAGCTACTTTTCAGCAGATTTTTTTTTGTATGGAAATGTCAATGGTTTTTTTGTTGTTGAACAGACGTGCAATTTGTTCCTTCAAATGCTATTTCAAATTAACATGTTGCCCAACATATACAAACTGACCTCTAAAAACACAGCAAAGGATCTCAATTGCGTTCAGTGCAGGAGCACAATGTAGCTTAATGGTGCATATAAGACCACGAAGGACCTAAACAACTGATTTTAAACCATATGTATGGAGTGTGTATCTTCGAAAAATCAACTTGAATCCCAGTAAAAAATTTTACAAGTTCATAAGTTGAAGCTAATCCTGTTTGTCTCATTGATCTGGAATAAAATAATCATAAACTAAACTTAACTGAGTGATTGAAATAAAATCATGTGAAACAACCCTAATTTCAGAAACCTCTTTCCTGTGACTGGCATTTGCCTTCCAGATTCAAACTAGATTTAAGTGATCTAATAAGTGAACAGATACACCTGCTGGCATAAAAAAAAAACAGTAGATTAAATACCAAAATTAAAATTGAATGTGACTAGTATTTTGTTTCATAAGACTGTTAAAATCAGAAAAATCTTTTGTCAAACAGTACTTTCTTTATCATCTGGAAATAAGAAAACTTCACAAGGTAAATGTTTAAGGTAACTAAGGGGCATAACTCTTGAATGTACAATGTAAATACCACCAAAATGGACCTTGAACTGTAATCGATGATCCATGATATTGTGTTTAATTTCAAAGGATTGGGTCAAGTGGTATATAATTATCATCCAGAAATCAAAGAAATACCATTTTCAAAGGTAACTCTTGGAACAGTAAATGTGAAAAAAAATCGTAATCTAACTTGACCTGTATTTTATGTGCATGACATTTTCTTTTCAAAAGGTTTTGTTCAAGCAGAATATTCATTACTGGAAAGCGAAGAAAACCAAACTTTTAAGTTAACTAAGGGCACATTTCTCTTGAATGCATGGTAAATTTCAAAACCTTGAAAGTTGAACTTGACCTGTATTTTATGGCCCATGCCATTGCCTTTTAAAATTCTTCAAAAGATTTTGTCAAGCTTTACTTATCATCTGGAAAACCCTCAGTGAAACCAAACTTACGACGCATGGACAAAAGGATGGATGGACATGTGCATCACTATATACCCCTCTTTTTGGCATGGGTATAATGAGTTATAACTAAGGTTTTCGGATGTGGATCCAGGAATTTGAAAAAAAGGGGGAGGGGCCTTAAACAACACAATGTTTGGAGTGGAATGGGTAAAAAGTCTGAACCATAAATGTAGCTCCATAAGGATGACCCAGGTACCCTGAGCCCCCCTTATTCAGCCTCTGGTTTTGTCAAATAAATTTTATTTACAAGTCTATTCATATATATATATATAGTATTACTATAATTTCTATCCCTTAAATATTTAGGCTTAAACAAAACAAACAATATATTCATATTGCTGATAACCCAGACAGCTAGTCTGTTTTTAATAATTATTAAAACAATATACATTAATACAAATCATTAAAGCATATATACATAAAAGGAAATCATAAAAATTATAATTGATGAAATGTTAATGTATGCTGTTTCAAGTTAAATACTAAATAATGACAAAAAAATCTATCATCGACAATCCTGCCGGCCAGGAACAACCAACTAAAACCAGTGAACTCTGTCAAACTTCTTTAAAAACTGAATTTGTAGCGGGAAAAAGTTGGAAACCTGTGTCCAAAGACCAATGCTCTAAAGACCGTCTCAGGAATTATACTTAAAGACAGTATAAAAAAATGAATAATTATTCAAAACAAAACAATTGATCATATGCAAAAATATGAATTAAAGCAAGACATATTACATGTATTTTAAACATGTAAAAAGAAAATTGACACTACGAATGTTGGGTAGAAAGTGAATGCTATCAAAAATATATGAAAAAGTTACTCAAAATTTTGTGATTTTTTTCCCCAAATTTACAAAAATTGTTGACATTTGCAAAGCATGAGTGGTTTGTCAATGGAATTGTTTATTAAAAGTGAAAATTAACAAATATACAAAACCCAAAGGAATATTCAAAACGGAAAGTCCATCATCAAATGGCAAAATCAAAAGCTCAAATTATACATCAAACAAATGGAAAACAACATATAACTCACTCCAGTTTAAATGAAAATGGAAACCCTTATTTTTTATTTTTTTTAAAACTATTTCATTTCACTACTTCTGTTGCCTTTATTCATCACATGTTTCTAGTAAAATCTATTTGGTGCCATAAGTACTTTTATTTCAAGGATATCATGATTATGTTTATTAACAAACTGATATGACTGCAGTCTTTACTTATGAATTTATAAACCCAAGAACCAATGATTCTAGCCCAACTTTTAACAATGAATCCAAAAAAAGTACTTCATTGTATTTTACATTTAAAGTTACATTGTGTGAAATGTACAGTAAATTAAATTATCGCCACATATATACCGCATAAACTAAAATTATTTTTATTTGAAGGGTCTTTGAAAGATTCTTTTATAATAATTGTAATTTAAAAGTCTTTATAACAATACTTAAGGGATTGCTGCAGTAATTTAAAGAGATAGGCATGTTTCAGTTCCTAGCTAGAGTACCTTCATCAGGATATAAACTACAGAAGAGTAATAAATCTTGAAGTGATAATTTGCACATCATAATGTCAACAGGGGGAGTAATAATAAATAGAAAAATGAAAGTAAGTATAAAAGAAGACTTTAAAAAGAATGTTAAATAAAATTTGTTTATTAGAGTTTAATTAATTTTTCAAAGGAACTGCTTTCAATTGGCTTCACTCAGCTAGAGGTACTGCTTCTAATCGGCTTTGCTAAGCCCGAGGTACTGCTTCCAATTGGCTTCACTCAGAGGTACTGCTTCTAATTGGCTTCACTCAGCCAGAGGTACTGCTTCCAATAGGCTTCACTCAACAGAGATACTGCTTCCATTTGGCTTCGCAAGGACAGAGGGTACTGCTTCCAATTAGCTTCACTTAGAGGTACTGCCTCCAATTGGCTTCGCTCAAGACAGATGTACAACTTCCAGTGTCTAAATGGTACGGAATTGCAAGTCAAGTGTCGTCTAAATTTGCAAAAATTATTCAACATCCTTGATCGTGTTTAGTTTTATAACTACTTTCACTCTATTTATAATTTCTCCTGATGGTGACGTTGAAAATTTTACCTAATCACTTGTATTGACCAATGATTTCTCCCACCCTGCATATCTATTCTCTAGACCTCTGCTTACATATTTTATTTAAAAAGCTCTAAATAATAGCCTTTTAGCTAGTACACATCTGATATCTTAAAAAAATACTAAGTAAATAATAATATATATTCCTTATCACTGAGGAAATTAAGAGTAGGATGAGTTTAACAGGGTCATTACCTCCCTTTTCCCTAAATTTCAGCCTGTTAGAACTCCACATTCCTTCTATATTTAACAAAAATCCCCAAAAATATAATTGAAATTAAACAAGATGCTCTCGAGAGTCTGAATCGCTCACCTGTAATTTTTTGCTTAAATCTTTCATCAATGATTATTTTTGATTTTCAATATATATTAATAAGTGGCTTAATGCCATTTAAATGTTCTTTGTATCTGTCATATTTTCTTCAAAAGCAAAAAAATGCATTTTACCCATATGTTCCATTTTAGCCATAGTGGCTGTGTTTCTTGAAAGGTAAATGACTCGCTGCCCAAATTTGAACTCTGTCTGCAAGTTTTGATTCTTAGTATTGTGTACGAGTTTCATAAAATTTGCACTAGGCAAACCTTAAGTTAAGAGTGCTGAAACAAAAATGGGACAGACAGACAGAAAGATGGACAACAGGATATCATGGGTAAAACTTCATGCCTCAATTGCCTACGGCAGGGGCATAAAAAACAAAATGTTTGAAAAGATACATGTACAATGTATAACAATGGTGAAACCCAAAAAATACATTTCATTAAAAAATCATTTTTTTCTTTTAATTCTTTTTTTTTTTAGATTCTCCATTCTTAACTTCTGGAAGTGTTTTGACTATACAGACCATTATTAATATATCTAAAGGAGTAGGTCTTCAAATAAAATTGGTCAATCAAATCTAGTCACAGGGGGAAAAATAATGAATACAATCTGAACTATGAACTCAAAACAAAACTACATGTCAAAAACCAGTTCAGTAACCATATGCATAACAAAAAAATTGTCAAGACAATAATGGACATAAGTAGAGCTACCTGAATATATCCTTTGGTTTAAATGGTACAGAGAGATTTTTAAAATTAAAATTATAACTTCCAATCTTGTTGAAAATGGAGAATCTTTACACTATTTTTTGTTTGTTCGTAAACAATTATAAACATTTTCTCAAACATACACAAAATTGTCTGAATTACATTCTTTACTGCTACAGTTATATCACCCAATCATTTTGTGCAGCCACAGTTAAAGTTACCTGAAAAAGAAATATACATTCTTAAACGTATCTGTCAAAACTATATGAAAATAATTGAAGCAATATTTAATGCAAAAGAATAATTAACTGGGCATTACAGTTATGATGTGAATAACATTACCATAGAGTATATGTTTTGCTCATTGTTGAAGGCTGTAAAGTGATCTTTAGTTGTTAACATCCTTGTCATTTAGTCTCTGGTTGATAAATGTCTCATTGGCAATCATACCACATCTCTTAATTCTTATATAGTGGGATAAATTCAGATAACTAAAAAACAGAGATACACTAACAACATGAAAAATCTACATTGACATGCTATTCCATAAAGAGTTCATTAATTTGTGTACTGATTCTTACCATAAAAGTCAGCTCCAATGTCCATTCCCTGCCTCAATCCTTAACGGAAAAACTGTGATGCTAACCTGAAATATAAAATGCTTAGTCGTTAAAAAATGTTTTGACTTGGATGGAGAGTTGTCTCATTGGCACTCATACCACATCTTCTTATATCTATTAAACTGATCATTGTTGGTATACTTCATATATATTTAATAGAAATATGGTCTACAAATGTGTAATAGATGTTAAGAACATGTGGATTAAACAGCTATCCAGCTACCCAGCAAAATTTTATGTAATTACATCTGATCCTTAAATTTACTTATATAATGGTACTCAGATAAATGAGAGAGTAGACTTCTTACCACCTCTTATAAGCCTAGAGCCAGATACCCAAGAAATTTTACAATACATTTGGTTTTTTTTCAAAACTGGAATAACATAAGGGTACTTACCTTCATATTAGCTGTATTAGACCCCCAAGTTTTATTCTCAACACCATGAAAACAGGTCACAGAAAGAACCTAAAAAGAATTAAAATGGATAGGGTACATTATATATTTTATAAATACATTTCTCTGTCAACATAAAATTTCCTAATATTGTTTTGATTTCTTTAATACTACATGTTCACAATAGTATAACATCAACAACTAAGTTTGTAAAATCAATATAAAGCTGGAAAACAAAAAAGAAGTCAAAGAATAATCATTTGAATTTCAACTGCTAAAAAATCTGCATATATATTATAGGGTTATCTCCCATTGAATTAACAAATCTTGATGTTAATTGAATTTCTCTCCCCTTGGAAGTTTTATTCCAATCTCAGGATTTACTATTGCTATTGTAAACTTGTTAATATACCTGGTAAATGTATCTTTAAATATTAAACAGTTCTCAGTGTTTTGCATGCAGAAAATAAAGTTGTGTTTCTTGTTTCTTATTTGCACTTTTTATCAAATATTTCTAGAAAATGTATAGAAATTGTTTGGCTTAAAAAACTTGCCTTCTTATTTTCTAGGTAAAGCTCTTGGTTGAAGATTTCTTTAACCATCTTCCATGGGGCTGCTCCAAAAAGAGTAATATTTTATCAAACAGGAAATTCTTAAAAAGAAAAGCCCAAACTTTACAAACCCAAAACTTGTCTATAAATCATGATGATCAATTGTTAAAAAGGATATATTTTAACAAGTCAAATTAATACAAGTTGTCATTATGTTCCAATAATAATAAAAAAAAAACAGTTACTTTAGAAACTTGAATTTGATAATAAAATCAAAATTTGAAGCAAGTTATCTCCCTTACTACTCTATACTGGTTTACAAAAGTGTAAAGATACAGCATGAAAATATTTCTCTAAACTAAACTACAACATTTCTAGCTCTATGATGGAGATGTTGGAAACAAAAATAGAATACTGTGATTAATTAATATTCATAAGTTACTCATTTTTTTGTGATTCAGGTGAATCATAAGTTTTAAATCTTTGACAAAATAAATATCTATAGGCTTGTATGAAAAATAATTGAAAACAGTAGTTCAAGTAATTAAGTAAATATATTATGTCTGAACGAAAGGCTAATGTTGGAGGTGAGAGTTGAAAATGAACCAAAGGCTGAGATATTTGATGTAAAGGGAGATAACTACTGTACAATATCAGGATTGGTGTTTAACACCAATTTCAACACTATTGTGCTATTTCATGGCAGTCAGTTTTTATTGGTGGAGGAAGCCAGAGTCCCTGGAGAATACCACCGACCTTCAGTAGGAAAACTGTCATTCATAGTCAATTAAAATTAGAGAAACAATTTTGAAGAAGCAGATGTAAATACAGTCGACTCTCGTTATCTCGAAGTCAGTCGGACCATAGAAATATTTCAAGATACCCGTAGTTCGACTAAAACTAAAACTGAAAGTTTGACAAACCAAGGGACACAACTCTTGATTAGCTTGGTAAGGCTTAAATAAATGGAGATGAATATAGGTAGGGGATCGATTTTCTGGTCTCAGATTGATGTATCTGTATATTAATGACTTTTATTATAATAACATTTTATGTTTTCGTCTTCCATCAATGAAGGATCTCTTAAAAGCTTACAGTAGATTAAGATTCATCTGTTACAAAAATAAAATTTATGAATCAGTAGTGTGTTGGAAAAAGTTGGTGTCCCTTCCATCAAAAAGGCCCTTCAACAAGCTGAGAGTAGATTAATCTTGTTACTATCATATAGTGTTACTGAAATCTATATGCCCCTCTTCCTGGTCTGCTAAATGATGGAGCCATATTCAAGGTCAGCGACTTAAAAATCCTCTCTAGATTGCATTTGCAAAAATCCAAAAATATAAATTAAACATCTGTGAGTGAACTCTGAAATGAAATATAAATATATATACAACCATACACATGAAAATATATAAAATGAAATAAATCAACCAACCTCACTATCAATTCTTAGAAGTAACTTTATAAAATATAAATAAATATACATGTACAACCATACACATGAAAATATAAATACAATTAAATAGATCAACCAACCTCACTATTAATTCTAATAGAAGTAACCTATATAAAATACAAATATATTTATACAACCATACACATGAAAATATATAAAATAAAATAGATCAACAAATTTTCAATTCTTTGAAGTAACTTTACTCTGAAATGAAATATAAATATATCTACAACCATACACATGAAAATATGTAAAATAAAATAGATCAACCAACCCTATTTTCAATTCTTTGGAAGTAACCTATATTAAATATAAAAATATATACAACAATACACATGAAAATATATAAAATGATATATATATAACCATACACATGAAAATATATATATAATGAAATAGATCAACCAACCTTACTATCAATTCTTTGAAGTAACCTATATAAAATATAAATATATATACAATCATACACATGAAAAAATATAAAATGATATATATATAACCATACACATGAAAATATGTAAAATGAAATAGATCAACCAACCCTATTTTCAATTCTTTGGAAGTAACCTATATAAAATATAAAAATATATACAACAATATATATGAAAATATATAAAATGATATATATATAACCATACACATGAAAATATATATATAATGAAATAGATCAACCAACCTTAGTATCAATTCTTTGAAGTAACCTATATAAAATATAAATAAATATACAAACATACACATGAAAATATATAAAATGAAATAGATTAACCAACCTCACTATCAATTGTTTGAAATAACCTATATAAAATATAAATAAATATACAGCATACACATGAAAATATATAAAATAAAATAGATCAACCAACATTACTATCAATTCTTTTAGGTAACCTATATAAAATATGAATAAATATACAACCATACACATGAAAATATATAAAAATGATATATATACAACCATTTTATATATTTTAATGTGTATGGTTGTATATACTTTATAGTACAGCCCGAAGAATGCCCTCAGATTTGAGGGAATCTCAAATTTTACAACTGATTAGCTTCACAGTTTGAAGTCCTTGTAATTTATATATCACTCTTCCCAATAAACTGACCACAGATGTTACACATAGGTTATCTGATAAGAAAGTCAACATTTTGGCATTTTCTGTCTTTACTTGAAATATAAACATTATAAATATAAATATTCTTCATAAGATTTCGACAATCTAGTCAGTGAACTTAGTGTAGGTGATATTGAAATAAAATAATCTTCATCAGCTAACCATCTGTGTTTATTTGATAACATCAGTGGACACCAACTGTGAGAGAAGCACTTAACCTAATCATTTAATTGCTTGTATAAACAATCAATTACATGGTTTCAATGCTGAATATCAGGAAAAATCGGGGCTGTTCTATAAAGTATATATATACCAACCTTACTATCAATTCTTTGAAGTAACCTATATGAAATAAATATATATATACAACCATACACATGAAAATATATACAATGAAATAGATCAATGAACCTTATTTTGAATTCTTTTGAAGTAACCTATATAAAATATAAATATATATACAACCATACACATGAAAATATATAAAATGATATATATACAAAAATACACATGAAAATATATATACAATGAAATAGATCAACCAACCTCACTATCAATTCTTTGTCTGATCTATGGTCGGGTTGTTGTCTCTTTGACACATTCCCCATTTCCATTCTCAATTTTATTTGAAGTAACCTATACAAAATATCAATAAATATACAACCATACACATGAAAATATATAAAATGAAATAGATTTACTGTTACCTCACTATCAATTCTTTGAAGTAACCTATATAAAATATAACTAAATATACAACCATACACATGAAAATATATAAAATGATATATATACAAAAATACACATGAAAATATATAAACAAAGAAATAGATCAACCAACCTTACTATCAATTCTTTGAAGTAACCTATATAAAATATAAATATATATACAATCATACACATGAAAATATATAAAATAAAATATATACAACCATTTTATATATGTTCATGTGTATGGTTGTATATATACCAACCTTACTATCAATTCTTTGAAGTAACCTATATAAAAAAAAAATATATATATACAACCATAAACATGAACATATATAAAATGAAATAGATTGACCAACCTCCCTATCAATTGTTTGAAGTAACCTATACAAAATATCAATAAATATACAACCATACAGCCGAAAATATATAAAATGAAATAGATTAACCAACCTCACTATCAATTCTTTGAAGTAACCTATATAAAATATACATAAATATACAACCATACACATGTAAATATATAAAATGATATATATACAAAAATACACATGAAAATATATACAATGAAATAGATCAACCAACCTTACTATCAATTCTTTGAAGTAACCTATATAAAATATAAATATATATACAACCATACACATGAAAATATATGAAATGAAATAGATTAACCAACCTCACCATCAATTCTTTGAAGTAACCTATATAAAATATAAATAAATATACAACCATACACATGAAATGATATATATACAACCATTTTATATATTTTCATGTGTATGGTTGTATATATGTAGGACTCTAAAGTGCGATGGTACTCTAATGTGCGATGGTCACGCTAAAGTGCGATGGTCTACGCTAAAGTACGATGGTGTCTCACGCTAAAGTGTGATGTTTGTTTGTTTGCTGAAGTACGATGGTATATCACGCTTAAGTGCAATGGACCAATAGAGTAAGCTTCGAGGGATTTAAACATTAAAGTACATGGATTTTGAAAATAGCCTTTTTGCAAAAGCTAGTATGCTAAGGTATAACATACGTGATAGGCTTTATAATTTACCGGGAGGCTTGAGTGAGCCTTCCTTAATTCAGAAGACCTACCACGTAATAATTGCTGAAAAGGTAATTTAGGTGTTACAAAATACTGTATTTCCTGTTAAGTAATTTTTAACAATTCGGGCGTATTAAATATTTGAATAATTGGGTAGCTTGCCGTTCACACAGTCTATCAATAA